TTCTGGAGCACAGTGGTTGTCACCCAAGTCATTAAATCCTTAGATCCAGCTGTTGTACTTACTTTATTTGTTAACAGTGGAAAAAATCTGGCCAAGAAAGTAACAGCTATTGTCTTTCAAAGACTATTTCAGGTTTACAGATATTCCCTTAACTCTTCAAAATAAAAATCATTATATGTCCCCAATGAATACATTTATTAAGTAACTGAAATTCACATGCATTTAGATTAATTCTCCATTTATTTATATAGAAATGGCAAAACGAATACCTGTTTTTATAGCTGGTTCACATGTAATAGCTACACTACTTGTAGCTTTGCTGTCTGTTTATAAGAGAATGTTTAAGGCTAGATCACGAGACAATTAAGTCATTCAGACAGTCCTCCTATTTCACATGGATGAAAAAAAAATCTAAAAAACAGACTATAGCTGGCTTTTTACTGCAGCTAGAAAGGCAACAAAATAATCCAACACACAGTACAATATCTGCAAAAAGAGGTTTAAGCCTGATCTCACTGTTGCCTTTCAAGGGATAAAGGAAAAATACTAAATTTACATTGTTCAACTCTGGGAATTCCCATGTGTAAAATATTAACTACATTAAATGAATACAGAATCTAATCTTGTTCCTGCATCACCCCAAAGAGTTTACAAAACTGTTCCAAGTTTTTCTGCAGGATTTCCTGACTTTTCTTTTGGAGATAGGGGCAGAGACAGAAAAACTGACAAACCCAACTAATTTAGAAATGCTGAAGCTCTTAACAGGAGAGACTGAGAATCCAGTCTCAACACAACTATATTGAAATTCCCAATTAAAGCTAGTCAGAAATGTTTCTTCTGCAATATGGAAGATCTGGACCTCCTGACTGCCAGGACACATATGTTCACATACACATCAAGATCTTTTCAGGTTTTCAAGCAACAAGAACACTGTTTGGACAGTGTCTTCTACAATTTGCAAAAACTTCTAGAAGCAATACACACCACCCCCCACTCAAACCCAAAAGATCTTCTGATCAGATACAAAAGGAGAAACAGAGCCCTAATAAGTCACTTGACCAGATATCCCTCATCAGTAGGGTAATTTGCCACCATGCTGAAGACTACAGATGATCAGCTAGATGAAAGAATTCACTGAAGACCTAAGTATTTGGCATTCTTAATGATGTTCATCAGCTCTCAGAACAGTCTTCCCAATTTTTAAAGAAAGTTTACAGATTTTGTCATAGTATCATGTATAATTTTAAAATATGAAGTTTTTTTTGTTGTTAAAGCACAAGCAGAGTGTGATGGACATTAATCCTATGTCTTCCAGACACGGAAAGTGCAAGTATTTTGAAGGTAACCTATTCTACCCAAGAATCTACAATATAAGAAAACTCCTTCCTCTGAGTTTTAGCAGGGATGACTGAGGGCATGAAAGAAAGGAGTATAAAACGAACCTTAAACTATGCCTCCAACTTCTGTTTGAAGCAGAGTACTTTGTTAGTAAAAGCATCCTATCCCAGTATAAGAGTTTGAGTGAGGAGCCAGCACGCACCTTTAACAACCTGTTCTAAGAGACAGCTTCATGGTCTGTTACATTTATATCTTATTTTTTCATTTAACCTTGACTGGCACAACTACTCACTTTTGCAATAAGCCTCCTGACTGAATTTATTCCCCCTCCCAGTGTTATATTTTCTCACAAATTATTGAACTAAAACAGCCTTTCTTTATGAGAGTGAGGAAACAGAATACCATGACAGAGCATATACCATTTCTTGATAAAGCTTCTTTGGTTTTCATGGCTTCTATAGCCTTTAGTAACTGATTCCACTCTGCATAATCCGTCACAGAATGAGAAGATACAACATATTTAATAACACCTTACACGTGTATCCAGCAGTTGTCCTACCTGTCCTGATAACAGTCTTGTGTCGCACACATAAGTGGAACCTGTTATCCATAACAGACCATAGATCCCTTGCAGGGTCATGGAACAACAGGACAAGTCCTCCAATAAATATTTACACGCTTTATTCCCAAAATGATTGCTTTACCTTTGGAATTGCCAAACAGGATATTTGCTTTTGCTTGGCTTACGTAGTTTGAGAGATTACTGTACTGTAACTTATCCTTAACACTCACTCAACAGAGACATGAGACATGAATACCCACTGCATTCACCCACACTACACTGTAATGTACTGCACAGGTATTAGACATAGACCTCTTTTTCTACAGGGAGGGCTGCAGAGACAAAGGAAACGGCACTAACTTCTACTCATTTTTAGAAGCAGTTTTGCATCAGTTCAAAATTCCATCTCACAAGAGGTAACATTTTTATTCATATTTACATTAAGACATTATGGTAAGTGCACATGAACAGTCTTACTTGAAGTTAGTAAGTTAAAAAGTATAATAAAACATATTATTCCCAAGAAGTTAAATTTGCCTTAGCTTTAAAGCCAGCGCTGAAGAAATACACCACAGAACTTGTAAAACTTATTTGATGCACTGAATATCATCCATGAAAGATACACCTTGTGAATGTTTTAACACTAACAAGAAATGAACAGCTGAAAATATACACGTCTCTCCAATTTTACAGGCACACTAACAGCGTGTTGTGGCTTGTTTTGTCAAGCAGATTCTGGCTTTGCACCACTGCTGTAAATGAATGGAAAATGGAGAAAGAGCACCAATAGTCAGAGAACAGACACCACATCTAGAAAAGCCTGCTATTTTTCCATCCTTAAAGTGTGAAAAGCAATGTGAACAACTGAGCTAGACATTTAATTAATGCCTTAATGCAATCAACTACCAGAGTCCTGCTGCAAGAAATTAGTCCTGGACACAGGGGCAAGAAATAGAACTGAGGTTGGAACTCTTCACCGAGTAAGGCTAAAATCCATAGACTTAACTATGGCACTGAAATGAAAGAACAAAAGCTTTATACTAGCTGCAATCACTAGAACAAAGCTCCACTATAATATCAAAGCCACAAAGAAAATAGAAAAAAAAAAAAGATAGTGGGCCTCATTCTACATGGTACTGGTTGACATTATTTCAGTTCATTTCAAAAAAGCTCATTTGTCCTTTCTTCAAATGTAAGACATTGTACTGCAGAACATCCAAGCAGTCACACAATATTTTTATTTTGTAAGAACTATCTGCAATTGTGAGGATGGGGGGGAGGGGAAATCTTTCTTAAAAACGCAAAATACTCCATCAGAAAACTCTGCATTCATAAATGGTAAATTATATTAATGTTTTGTTTAAGTTAGAAATTTGGTAACTTCAAAGTCTAACATATCCAATTTTTGGAAGCTGACTCAGTACAGGAAACAGTTCAGGTTTATTAAGACAAACACTGAAATACAGCCATTCTACTGGCAAAAGTATGATGCTAAAGAGCATTTACTAAAGAATCGCTAACTATTACAGCCGATTTGGAGTTTATGGCTGTGTTTTTAAGGCATCATATCCAGCACTTCAAAGCTATGTAGCTACGTGCTTTATTAGGTTGGAAAAGATTAATCACAGAATTATGTTAAACTAGTAAAAAGGGGAGGGAGCACTACTTTTCTGCATGGAAAATAGAGAGAATGTGTCACAACTAAATTTAGGGGGAAATAAAGTTATATTTTGAGACGATTGTAAGCAAGCATAAGAGGAATTTACTTTTTTAATTCATAGTCCAGAAACAGATTTTGTTGCCTATTGTGAGTTTCCTCAATTGAGCTGATCAAGACATTTTGTTGCTAGCTGAATCATCCTCTACATCCTTATACAGCAGACTACATTTGAGCTCTTGAAACGTAGTGTCAGACTTTACCTAAACTAACATTAGTTCAGCCAAATATCAATAAAAGCAACAAACAGAACAAGCACTTTGTGCAAAGTCTTACACTTTATGTATGACAGAAGCCCTGATCCTTAACAGAAGATATCAAAGTACTCAACCACAATTGATATGTACACATTTGACACCCAAGAGAGTAAAAAGACAAAAGCATTGAACTCATGTTATGACTACAGGAAATTAAAAACATACTGCCACAGTACCAGAGTTGCAGGTCAGAACTGCCTAGTAATTCCAGACTCAAATTTACAACATCTGCTTGGCTGCAGCATCTCTTTCAGAAAGACATCTGCTATTCACTCAGGGGACAAAGGGCTTTCCAGTGATCTTCAGTATCTTTCAAAAAGGGCTTTTCAATGAGTAATTAATTACAAGCAGCATTTAATTCAGTAAATACATGCTGATTCTCGGGAAACTAAATTAGACTGCCAACTCTCTTGAAAAGACCTGGGAATCATTTCAAGTAGAAACATCATCTGAAGACTTTTCTGTCTTCTGGCAGATAGAAATTGGCACCAGGTGTCCTGACTGGCACAAGCACCAAAAACAAACCCAACACGAAGTCCTTAAAACTCTGCCAGATTTTGAAACACCATCTGCCATTTAATCAGCTGTGATTCCCTCCCCCTGCCATATGAGCAGACACACATATCAACATCCTTGGACAATTTCAACTTCTTATACAAGTGTAGTCTGCAGTGATACACAGAGACAGCTCACACCAAAAGGTTATCTACAATGAACCTTCCAGAAAAGAAAGATCCTGCATGATTCTTCTATTTGTTTTTTTTAAAGCCACAACACATGAATTCATTCATTACTTAGCTCACTGTGGCTAAACAGCAAAAACTACATCCAGTTTCATTTCCACGCCTTTTTTTTTATACCATTTAAACCTCATTAAGTTTCACTGGAAACAGAGTAACAGATACCACAGACTGCATATTATAAGACATGGGTAGCCTGAAGACAGTAAGTAGACAAAACTCAAGACACCTTTTTCCACCTCCTTTAAAACTGGAGTCAGTGATAGTTTCAGAACTATCCCCTGCAAATCTGTTCTTCCAAGAAAAGAACCAATATATTAATATAACGTATAAACCTAATTTGAGTTGCACCACAGAAAATATAAAAATGCATTCAGAAAACTCACCAGGACCCAAACAAGATAGGCTTTGGTGTACACTTCTTCCAGGAGAACCTACGGTGTTCAGGAAGGAGAAAAAAAATTACACTTCAAGGGAGTAAAGAAAATACAGGATGCATTCTCATTAAGCCAAACATGTATTTTCCATTACAATTATCATATTTCATTTAAGTCAGGTAGCACTGTTTTACTTTACTTATTCATAGAGGACTACAGATAATAAGGAACTATCATCTACACTGGCATCATAGCAACTTTTTTCCACCTATATGCTTATAAAGCAGTAATAAATTAACAGCATTCTCAAATGTGCTGCCAATCAAGTTAGATACAAATGAAAACACTGAAAAAGTTAATCCACCCTACCTGTATTGGAGTTATGTGAAAATTGACCTAAGAACCTCATTATTTTTAAGGATACTAAATGAAAGCAATCTTTCAGACTGCTAGCTATAAGTGCAAAAGTCATGTGCAGAGTTCATAAAAGGTCTTTTAACACCATCTTTCTTCAGAATTTACAAATAGTATGTGATCCTACAACAGGTGTTTCAACAGGAAAAAGCTACTTTGTACTGCTACCATACTTGTTTCCCTCACCTCAGCTTTGCAAATGGAACTTTGCTCCCAAGGCGAAAATTTTGTCTTACAAAGCCTTCCTGAAGATGCTTATCTATTCTTTTGATTCACTCTGGCAGAAATTACTAATTGCAATTCAAAGTTAAAGATAAAACAAATGGCTGATACAGAAACATACAAGTAGAGTAAATATCCTCAACAGAGCTGACCACCATGCTCTCACAAGAATCTTGCTTAATTTAAACCCAAACTTAGGCTAGATTTTTCTATCTTGTGTCTTTCGAGCATACAATCTTACAAGCAGATGACAGAACATCACTTAACAGACTTAATCACCTGTATTTTTGGTCATTACGGGATGCAAGTTTCAAGCAGACAGTAGACAATGAATGTCCCTTAAACAAATACATAAGGAACATTTTGCAGACTCAGTCTCCAATACTATGAACTGAAAGGAAAATGAGGAGACTATCTCAATTACTCTGAAGTCAGAGCATAGCTGCTCTTTCTGAATACAGAGGGATTCAAGAAAAAGTGAGAAACTGACTTCACCCAACAGCTGATTACCTCTAATCTCACTGACTTTCCTTCCTGGGTGCAGTGGCCCAGCTGATTTTGGTGTGCACTGGTTCAGTGAAGCAGATTTGGTCTTGGCTCCTAGAAGCAAAAGTTGAGATGAACTTTAAAGTAGAACTATGTCACCAATTAAAGACATATCTAATATTACACATTTACAGTTAAGTACAAGATGCACAAATCTACTCAAACACACAAAGATACACCTTCTAGAACATTTAACCTATATTTAAACTTAGCTCTGCTATACCAGAACTCATATTGAAATAAAAAGATGGTTTTAATAAAGCTTCTAAGCAGGAGAAAACGTTAGTAAAAATTTCACTTCAGCACTAAGATCGAATCACTTAAGTCTCAAAACAGCAGCTAATACAACACAGCTAAGGAAATACTGGCTGAAAGAGACCTCCAGAGGCCAGCTATCCAGACTCCCACTCAGAGCAGGCTCACCACCAAGACAAGAATCTGCTGACCGCGCTTTTGTCCAGATGAGCTGTACAGACCTCCAGGAAGGGAGGCTTTATGGCATGACTGGGCAAGGATGCATCTCCCACTCTAAAATTTGTGAGCATTTTCCACTGCCACATCATCTGGTGCTACTGAGAGGAGTTTGGCACCATGACCCTTACAGCTGTCCTTTTCAAGCCATTGACTACACAAGCTCAACTCCCTCAACCTCTCCTCAGCAGAGACCCCAACCATCTTCCTAAGTCTCCAGTTGACCTTTCCAGTTTCAAAACAACCCTTCTGAACTGGGAAGGCCCCAAAACTCAGTACAGTGGTCCAGATAACACTGAACTGAAGGGGGAATACCAGCTTCTTTTGGCCACACTGCTCCTGCAGGTGCTGAAGGTAGGTTTCCAGCACCCAGGTTGCTGATGATGTTAAGTTATGCATAGCTGTGCTGCATGTTTTGTACCCCCACAGAAAGCATCGGCTTGTCAGAGAGACATATGATTTGTGTTTCTTTCAAAGTGATTTATGATTTGTGGCAAATTCTGTTTTTTCTCACTGTTTACTATTTTAAAGCATGTCACTACAGTATGACATTTGGCAGGCATCTCTTACTTATTCTCAATTATGTCAGATACCAGCTTAAGTCTAAAGCAGGAGTACAGTATTTAATTAGGTTTATCCAATTACAATAACCAGTTCATCACAAAGATGGTCAGAAGCAAGCTGATTATAGCTAGGATTTAGGAAAGAGACACAGCAAGCTTGTTTATCTGCTCCCATTATGTCTTTAATTTTGTCTAGAGAATGAGTTGTCAACTGGTGTTTGTGGCTTGAGTGGAAGAAGCACTGTTGGGCTGATCAAGAGGTCCTGGCTTGAACAGGAATTGGAACCAGAACAATGTTTAATACAAAGCCAAAGAGTACATTTAATGTTTTCTTTAGCACAAGATGATAAAGCACAGTCATCTTATCTCCATCAAAAATTAAAGCTTCCAATTCAGCCAATAAGAGGAATATTAAGCAAAAGCAGCATGAAAAGCTGAGCTGTTTCTGAGACTCTTCCCCTGGAAAGATGGGATAATGCCACTGATCTGTGAAAGAAGATACTTCATCTAATAATACCTTATTCAAAAAAATATCCCCATCCCCCAAGGCCCTTTCTATGCCGAATGGGGTGAAGATAATGCAAAGTCTGCATGAGGACAAGAACAATTTCAGGACAAATTCAGGGTAGGTCTACCCCGTAGATTACCAGCAGCCACAGAATCTGAGCCTTAACTTTTTGAAAGAAAAGAACTCTTAATAAAATAATGTAAACCCCATGTGATGACACCTGCCACGTAGCAAGGTGCATCTAGTCCCTGTACCATGCAAGCCTCTGCTGTACCACAGTGCAGACCTCCTCTTCATTTCCCTGAAATACCTCCATCAATTACGACAATTTAAAGAACATTTTAACCTTCCCATGAAGTCTTACAACACTTGAAGCATCACTGATGTGATTTTACTTCCTCGCACTGTTTTCCGAGACCACGGTTACTAAACACTGCTTCAGGAGGCAGACGCCTGCAAGTAACGTACTGTAACGGCAGGAGCTGTGCTTTCACTCCGTCTACCAACAAACCCATGTACCTTTCGGAGTTGACTTCAACAAGTGCAATCTAGGTCTTGACAGCGCTTTCAAAGGGACAGGTCCTGAAGTGCCATTCTGGCAGGCTGGTTTTGAAGGCCATTCTCCATTCTTGATGACTGTGGCACTTGCAGCTGCAATACAGAATGACAAAGAATTTGCTCTAAGCATAAATAGTTTGATGAAGTCAAGCCTGTCTTACCAGAGGCTGAAGGACCTTGAAAGAAATTTTGGGTTGTTGCCACAATGGAAATTTTTCCTTGAAAAACAAAACCCTGAAATTTCGGGAAAGCATTGTTTCACTTTTCTAGAAAAAAACCTGAAAGTACTTCTAAAGTAAGTACACATTGTTTTGGGTACTAAAAGAATTATGTATACTGACAAAGAGAATAGGAAGCTGACATGGCATTTACCAGAGACAAGCAAAATCTAAGTCACTCTGGAATAGCTGGTCATACTGTTGCTCTTTTCTCTAGTCATTAAGAAAAAAAAAAAAAAAGAGGGGCAAAGCTTCTGGCATGTATTATCAGGTTTGCATCAGATTAGTATTTTAATGAGGCTGGTTATTTTTAAAGGTTTGTCTAATACTGTTCATCAAAAGATGGAACATATAGTCTTGAGATTATTTTAGTCTCTTTAAATGCACTAGCATAAAGCATATAAGTTAACTGCTTCAAAAAGATGGGTTTTGGCCACTAAATACATTTTCAGCCACAGAAAGAGGGGCAGAACTTCTTTCCCCTATAGAAACACATGCAACTGAAGCCATCTTCTTTTTAAAAGAAAGAAAGTTGGAACTCCTCGAAAGGCACAAAAGCTAAATATTGCAAAAGGATCTGTACATGAGGAACAATTTGCATAACACATCAGTAACACAGTTATTCTGTGGGAATCTGACCCTGATCAACATCAGATTAAAACCAACTTGTTTTGGTAAAACATGAGGCCTGACAGTCCTTAACTTTTTCTGTAAATCACTAAATTAAGGATTTTTGCTCAGAGTTCACTGCAAGAAGGTAACAACTGCCTACAAACTGGGGTGCTACTTGTAAATCAGAAGCACACCATGGAAGTAACGCTGTGGGTAAGCAAGCAGCCTTCTGGAGCAGGACTAGTTAGGGCACTGTTTTGCCCTATTAAAAGCTCTGGAGTCAGCTAACCAGGCTGCATGTAGGTAGGAAAACAAAAGGCAGAGTTGCAAAGTTTGATCACTATATGATTCAAAGCTGTTTATTCACAGATTAGGAGCAGCTACTGCAATCCTGATTAAAGATGGACATGTGTGAAATGGTCTCACCCCAGTTAAGATATAAAGAGTTTAAAAACTCAAGTCATTAAAAGAATTTTAGTGAAGTAGTGACTGTTCAGAAATGCAAGCTCAACTGCTAGGATCAGCTTTTTAACTTCTGAAACACAATTTCCTTTATTTGTAATTATTCTAATGCAATTAAAATTTGGATTCTTGTTCTTAACCTCAGAGTTTAACCATTTCAGTACATTCAAATTATAGTATTTTCAGCTCTCCACTAAAACTGAGATTTCTCTACTGTTAAAAAAAATTCTATTTTTCAATGCTCAAACTGACCTGCATGAAAAATATGCTTTTATTAACAACAGCATTTCACACCTCATGATTTCTAAAATTCTCAAAATAGGAAGTCATTTTAGAGAAAAAAATCATAAAGTTCAAGTGCTCATTAGACAAAAAAAACTCTAATGCTGCCACAGGGAATTACCAATCTAAAGACATCCTATAACAAAGGGCTGAGCTGACACAGCAAGAGAAACACTTCTGTCATTTTTTTCTCTGTTAATACAAGGCAAACTCCTTAAGCAAAACAAACCAGGTGACTTTGTTGAATTAATATTGTTGACAGGACCACAAGTTTGTCATAAATTTCATGACATTCACAGTGTAAGCCTCCCATTTTGATCTTTGTGTCCCCCACCAAGATAATAAAAACATTTTAGGTTTACAAATGCAATTTTTTTCCTGACATTAATGCATAGTAGATTAAATGAAAGAATGAAAAACAAGAACAGCACTGTACTTAGTATTAGAGTACTAAGTAAATTCCATAATTTTTTCCAATTTAATTTAAGGTCATAAAAATTTCACTAACATATGAATTTTATTTAATCTAAAGTCCTTACACTCACAAAACCTTACTATCAGACATAAATCCCAACTAAAGAAAAATAATCTCACAGCAAATCAGCAAATCAAAATATTGCATATATTTACCAACCTCCACAAAACAAAATGCATGCTTTAAAATAGAAATAAAAAGGAATACAACCTACTTCTTTTCCCAGTAAACGTGGCTAACAAAGGAACAATACAAAAGCTGTAAGACCCTACTACCAGCAGTGTCAGTAAGGTAATATCATAGTGGCTTCCTGAGTCAGTCGGTGGTGTTAGTGTAGAATTGATAAAAATAATAGGAGAAAAATTAGTTTCTGTGCAACTGCGGAGTCCTCCAGGTATAGTCATTTAAAAAGATCAAAGCAAGCTTAAAGTCTAGGAAGCTGCAGCCATGTTCAACCTCTCATACTGCTCTTGCTTGGTCTTCGTGAATCGGAGTGGAAAAAATTGTAAGCTTGAAGGCAGTGGACAAAACAGATTACAGCAGCTAGCAAATCAGGCTAAATAAGGAGTCATCTGTTTGGACGCTTAATCTGAATACACTCCTTTGTTATAAAGCGATGACCCCATCCTTTGTTACATGAGGGAGCAAAACGAAGAGAGGACAAAGCTGCTTCGCAATTCCAGCTACAGTCCTAAACCTGAACAGCAAAAGTCAACATGGCTGTCACAGTATCAGAACCGATCTGACTACAGAGCGATATGCACATGCATATTTTATCACACATACTCTTATTCCTTTAAGGAATATGTTTGCTCTCAGTTTTTTAATGAAGGCACTACGGGGGGGGGGGAACCAAGGAGAAAATTTATTGAAGTATGTATGCATATGCGCATACATAAACTACAGACGTGTGATACATCACGGTTCGCTTTTTCAGTCCATTGAAGACTGATTTAGCAGACATCTGGCACAAAGAAAGGCCTTTGCCCAGTCTTCATGATATAACAGATGACATGATAGTAACAGAATATTTGAATGTACTCATTTGAATACATACAGCTGGAAATACTAATACTACTGACATATTTTTGCCACCAATTCCTACAACTGCTGTATAGCTTCAAATCACAGCTAGTTCGATTATTCTTCTCCCTATTTTTAATCAAGATGTATTTGGTTAGGTCATACACCTTAGAGCTTACAGAAGTCTACCTATGCAAAGTTTTACCTTCTAAAACGAATTTCACTTACCAGGCTTTGATTTCATCTACACGTTTTGTATTAAAAACTCCGAAAGCATATATAATCCAGTTCAAAACAACATTTAGTATCAAAAAACCTGCGATGTGTTTTTCCAAATATTATGACAGGTAAACCATTCTGTTCAGAATTACCTCTTATTACACTACATGTAAACACTAGGAAACTCTTGCTCAAGAAGACACACTGGTTTTGTAATCTTTCAGGACAGAAGAGGAGCTGTACCAAAACCTCTACTCATCAAACCACAACCCAAGGCCCAAAGCTCCTTCAGACAGCATGTCTCAAAAAGGAAAGCTCTCAGTTAATAGGCAAAAAAGTAAGTCCTAGAACTAATTCTAGGAATTAACACAGGCCTTTGTCAGACAGGACTCCCTTCCAAGGCGATTTTTTCCAACAAGCAGCTGATATTGGCTATCAGTTAAAATCCACAACCCTCACAGATACTTACTGCTGAAAAGACTTCGCTCACTCTGAGTGCTGCTGACTGATGAGAGGCTAGGTGTTCTCTCAAGCACTGATCTTTTGACAGGCACTTTGAATTTGGCGAGGGATTTACCAGAGGAGGTTGGGGAATTTTTCACTGAGGCATGCTTCTCTCCTGGCAAAGATCCTATACCTGTCAATTAGGGGGGAAGGAGGAGGGAGAAAGAAGAACAAAAGGAGTTGGAAAGAAGCTTAAACAATTGCTTCTTTTACGCATATGCCTACAAATAAAAATATTTACACAGTAAAAATCCATATAAAAAGGCTTAATCTACCTCATATTGACATGGTAAAAAATGCTGTAAATGCAGAAAAACAGTTCCAAGGATTTAAAGCATCATATTTTCCTAAGAACCAAGTCAAGAGCTTTACAGACTGACCTTCCAGACAGACATCTGCACACAAAAGAAAGTCTTTCTTACATCGTCCTACCTCTGTGTGTTATGGTTTGCTGTACAGGCGATCCCATAAAAATATAAATAACCTCCACTTCACAGACAATCCAAGAAAGGATTCTTTTGTTTGTTCTTGCCCCCAAAACAAAGATTCCCATCCCCATTCCACTCTAAAAGATCATATCCTTTCAAGAACACAGACAGCATGAGAAATCACATAATATACTTAAAACTGACTAGTTCTGCAGAACTAATTAAACAGCACTCCCACAACCAAGTTCTTAACGGCCAGCTGGTGCAGACACATTCTTATACTAATTCCGGTTTTCACTTGAGCTTGTTGAATACAAACGCCCAACAGCTAAGTTAATCAAACAGGAAAAGTATCTATACAGGAGACAGGTGTGCCATCTTCAGGACAGGAGCTTACTCTTGCACTACTAACAAAGCAAATACACTTTCCACAAGAAAATTTGAGTTTAGTCAAATTAAGCTTTTAGTTTATTTCTGAAAAGTGCGCACCCAGATTAAAACTTCAGTGGCCCAAAGGAAGTTATGTACACACAGACTTGTCTTGGCAGCTCTGAGTTGACACTTGTCAGCTCTGACAACAAAATCTTTATAGAGGCCTCTGAATATGGAGAAGAGGTTTTCATTTTCGTACAAAAACACAGACATGGAAGACAGGCTTATATATTTTTTAAATATTTTGTTATCTATTATGATGAAATATATCTAAAATAGCTTAATTTCTGATGTCATCGCCATTTTCAAGTCTGACAGACAGTTTATCTTACTTGAAAAGAGACAGTGTTTCAGATTTCACTTTGAACAATCACATTTCTACGCAAAGGGAATACCCTTCCCTTTATTCTTGTCACTATAAACCACATTTCAATTTTGCTTAAGATAAAATACTGCTGAACTGTGACAGAACTAGCTAGTAATTCCACTTTATTCAACATCAGTTTTACTACAGGAACTCCACCTTTTAATACTAATGACCAAGAAACCTTCAATTTGCACCAAGACCACGAAAGCATGACACTAAGGGGACTGCATTACATTTTAGGCAAGAACACACCCAATGTCTGCCTTTCAACAGTAGGTGGTGTGACAGGATTAGATAACCTGTCTCAAAATATTCCTGCATCAAGTATGCAACAACAGAACAGCACTGGTAAAGAAAGGTATGTCCAAGCTATTTTCTTCAGTTCAGATCAATTCAGTAACAAAAGAGAAACCCCACATACAACGTATACTAAACCTTCATTGGCATATTATGTAATACTGGTTACAGAGTATAATGCACAAGCTTCAACGAGTCATTAAACATGCTTTGTGTCAGATCTCTCTTTGGAGGTGCACTTTTACTACTTGTGTAACTTTACTATACAGAACTGTGATTCTGTGTGTGGCTTTACTGTAGCCTGCTATTAACCTCTGAGACAAAATTATCATCCGTATTTCAGGACCTTTTGTAAGTTACTGCAAGGGATGCCTGAATATACACAACTCACTAAAGAGCATACAAGCTTTGCTGTGCTAGGAGAACACCACAAACACCACACTTACTGAAAACACCCTTAAAACACAGTACTCCAGAAAACATATCTGAAATAATTTGTGTTTGACAAAGAAAATATAAAATATTTGTGACATCTGAACTTCATACAACAGATTAATAACTTTATAAAACTTTTCACATTGTTTTTTAAAATCTTGTTTCATTATTCTGGTATGTTGATCAATTAATAAGTAATTCAGACCAGTCAGAAGTTCCTTTTCTAAATAGCTTCTCAGCAAAACAGGGTGCAAACCCCCAAAAAACCCAAACCAAACAAAAAAAAAAAAAACATCCCCCCCAAAACCAAACAAAAACCACAAAACCCCTCAAACAAACCAAAACCAAAAAGCAAACAGGAAAAAAAAGGCCGCTGTACAAACACTGCCTGTTAATGTTGTATGACTTAGTGAGTTAAAGTTCTACATTTCAAAAGGTAGCTAGAGGAACAAATGCAGTTTATCAGGTGCATCTTATTAAAGATGAAGGCAGCATGTTTGATTACTACTGTGTTGGACTTGTTCATCCAGTTCTAAACATACAGGAACAAAATCCCGTTTCCTTCGCACAGATTTTCACTCAAGAAGGGTCAAAGCACATATGTGAAAATGCTCAGTCTTGTCTCGTACTGCATGTTCCCTACACGTGATTTGCAGCCAGCCAAACTTCTCTGCAGAAGCTGGAGTATGACAGTGCTCTGAACCAGCTGTGAACCCAAACCCATTCAGTGAGCACAGCAAGCTCTGGGACATTGTTTCAGAAGCAGGTCAAACAGATGACATTTGCTCTTTCCTTAGTTCTTCTGCTGCTTGGTATTTTCCTGTAAGGCTTCTATTAAAGTAATTACTCAAACACTCAAATACATTTTTCAAAAGCCCTGTTCAAGGGACAATTTCTTTCAGGTCATGACACAAGATCATTAAGCAACTACTCTAGGTGTTACTTCAACTAATAGTTTTACAAACTACTTTTATAAAATAAATATTTCCTTTATTTTTCTTCCCTAAGAAAGGAGTTACACAGAACTAAATGCAAAGGTTTTAAAGACAGAAGCAGGAAGATACGGCATATAAACAAAAGTGCTGGAAACAAGCACAGAAGCAGGATATTTAGTGAACCATTATTACAAAGACAACAAGCAATAGCAAAGTAACAGGCTTTCATCAGTTATTTAATCTAGTCACTGAAGCGGGATACTAGAAATACCACATTCCTCTACAATGCACTAATGAGTTGGCAATTCTTCAGAAAAAAGTCTCCGTGCAACGACCATGTTACTTGAAGTGCGTTAAAGTATCTCCTGTATTGGAATGGAAATAAGCAAAGAACAAAACTCATTCTTCAAGAAGCTCTGCAGGTAGCTTTCATATCCTTAGTAAAATAATAATCCTCTCATATGAATCCCTCATAGGTGGTTAGAAAAAGTTAAAGCTAAGGCTTCCTTTAAATAGCACTGGAGTCTAAAATACTCAAATTGAGAGAATGTTGACACCAGGTAGATTGTAAAGTCAAAAACACATGCACAAATTCTGAAACTTCATGTCCACCATTTCAAACCACATCAACACGTTTCATATCTAGAGCTGAGCACTGAGCAACTGGCATTCATAGAGCCACATGACACCTAGAAATGAACGGTTGGAAGCCTTTCCCAAACATAAACTTTGGGCAGACGAAGTGCAAAAGGAGTTTTTTGAAAGATGCTTTTTGTTGTTGCTGTTTTTGTTTAACCCTAAAGCTAACACTAACAGTTGGTTTGGCCTTACATTGCCTTATGTCTTGAAAAGGCTGAATTTTGGATTTTTGCCTTATGCTTTTCAGATTTTTTCTGAGAATGTAAAATACAAAGGGCTCCGTCTTAAAAGTGCTGAACTTCTTAGCTTACAAAAAATAATTTTAAGCATGATGAAAAAGCCCAGTTTAAGCCTATGGTAAAGTCTTTAAAAACCATGGGGAGTAAACCTTCAAGAAAACATGCTGGTTTTTGGCATTTATTGAAAAGAGCAAGTAAATAATGGAAAGACAAACTGGACTTTGATATTGTTTCCAGCAGACTGATTCTAACGTAGTTGTAAGAGTGCTTATGGTTGCCATTTTAAACACTGTAAAGCAGGAGCAATACTAACAGTTTTCTGATGGCTGCAAGCTTCTGAGTTTGCCTGATTAGCCATTCAGTAATATCAACTATACTATATATTATGCTATACACATATCGGTGTTCCTTCAGGGAACAAAGAGCGGTTACAGCATATTTCATAATTCTAAAGGTAACGTCTTTCTAATTATCTCTCCCTTTTAAAGTCTCAAATTACTACCAAAATGGCAGGACACAGTTAGGTTATGTTGCCAGTAATGGTCAACTGTTCAACCTAAACGTGGAAAAAAACAGGGAATGCCAAGTTACTGCTGGCTCTTCAAATATTTACAAGAGAGATTTACTTGTTTAGAGGATAACAGCTGGTCAGAGAACAGGCAAGACTCCATTCTCCATCTGATGGAGACTTCCACAGCATTCTCTCCATTCCTCTACAATCTTAGACAGGTATCAAGAACCAGCAGCAAGCTAGTGCCAAAACCTTAACTGGGGTGCCAGCAGCCATGCAGGTAGGTATTCCTGTGTTCTTCCTCTTGCAGCTCAATATTCTTGGACTAAAACTGGAAAACTGATCATCAGTACTACAAAGCATTATATTAGCAGTTACCAACAACCAAAACAATCCTTTTTGTTCCCTAAAATGCTCCTATCATCAGAAGAGTGATTGGGTCATTTTCAGTTAAGGGAAGAGAGAGAAGACTAGTTACTCATGTATGTCTACCATTCAACTTCACTTTTCCCCCTTCCTATCTGGTCCAGTTTTGAAATGGGGCAGACTTCCTCACAGTTAAACCCTTCCACAATCAGAGTGACTCCTCCCTTTCCCATCTTCCCGCAGGCTCAACCCCTTGCATGTGACCTCTCTAGCACCTAGAAACATCTCTTCCCTGGCCTCAGGTATGAGCTCACACCTGATCTCTCACCTCCAGGGCCATCTGCCCATAATGCTGCCTGCTGGATTTAGTCAGGTTAAGGTTTTTCCTTTTGTAGACTGAACTAGAGCAAGCCCCATGAGAGATCATGTCTGCACAGTCATGCTGCCACCTCCTATGACCCCAGGCAGAGGCAGTCTCTGGACA